GTTTTTCATTCCGGTGGTAGCGGCTGCCTTCACGTCCGTATCGGAGCTTGCAGCTGCAAGGCCATGAGAACAGCAGCATCCGAAATAACCCTGTAGAAAGGCAAGGGAAAACTTCCATGGAGGAAATGCATTAAAACGTGCATACATGGAGATGGAAGGTATCCAGCAGTACCCGGGCGAAGGAAACAAGTTCTAAAACGCAGAGCTTTGGGAAAAAGGGGAGAAATAAACAAAGCGACTGCAAAAGAAAGCAAGGAATGTTAAAATTACACGTAAGGGAAAGAATGATCTCAGGGATGCAGAAAAAAATATAGAAAATATTTTAAAATGACAAAATTGCTGAAAAGAGGATGATGGTGCAGAAACCCTCCAGTCACCAGGAAAGAACCAAAAAGAATCAGAAAAGTGAAAGGAAAAATGACCTGAGAGTGTTTGCTGTTCTAGATTTTCAGCTCAGACTTGAATCAAGGAAGTGTATGTGAAGGTTTAAGTAATGACAGGGATATTAGTCAGTGCAGCAGAGCTGCTTGGTGACCCAGTTCATGATAGAGGACATGATGATAAAAATGATTCAATGCAGAAGACTACAGATTGCCAGCATTTGAGAAGGACAGCGAGACTGTAATGGGGATGTTTTTGCCATATAGCCAGAGTAATTAAGAAAGCAAGGAGAAAGTAGGAATTTCTTTGATAGTTGGTCTCCATCAGTGCCAGTCCTTCAAAAGAAAAAAAAATAAAAGAAAAAAAATAAAACTAAGCAAAGGAGTTTCCATTACTCGCTTGGGAGAAGAGGAGCTCACTCATCACAGTAATATATTTCTTAAGGTACTCCAAGTAAATTGCCCTTTTGCCACTTTCGCTACAAGTTTAGGTGTGATCAGGTGGCTCGCGTGGTCTAATAATTGTACACATCTTTCAGTATATAACTAACACAGCATGCATATTTCAGTGAAAGAGAGGCATCTTCTATGGCAACGCTTGTTGCCTTGTAAGGGTGAGTGCAGAAGGGAAAGGCTGCGCCACCGGCGCCAGGGCGCAGATTCATCTCTAGGACTCACCCTAGAGATGCAGATCTCTAGGAAATCTGTTTTATCAGCTCTGTTGTTCCAGCTTGTTTCCTTGGTGGTGCCTCCTTCAGAGCCGCCCTGTGCTGGCAGGACGGTGCCCGGGGACATGGCTCGGGCTGGCATCGTCCTCACCATCCCTGCAGCGGGTCTGCAGTAGGAGTTCATGTCCTCGGAGTGGCACAGCAGGACAAGGAACAGCAGGACAAGGACCGAGCGCAGGCGGAGAACAGCAGCAGACGCGGTGGCTGTTCTGCTGCCACCAAGACCAGGGTGTCCTGAGCTCCTAGTGTGGTTTGGAGGATTGCTGGAGCCCATGGTCTGCTCCTCGTGGCTGGATGGGGGTGGCTTTGCAAAGGAAGGGCCTTAGCAGGAGGCTCAAACTCCTTACAGAGAAGTTGTGCCTTTGGAGGACAACTGAGGAGCCTGCAAGCTGAACAAGTTTGAAAACCATGAGCTTAACTTGAGGTTTGAAGTGAGAGACCAGACCAAAACCTTAGGGGATTGGGGCAAATTCCTCCATAAGCCACAACAGGCTTCTCCTCAGACTGATTTCCTGGGTCTGCTGCCTGTGCGCTAGCTTCAGCCCTGGAGCACTCTAAAGGTGTCAGCCAGCCCCAGAAAGGCTGATTCCACCTTACAAAACAGTACTTGGAGGTTCTGGCTACACACCTGCTGGCCCGGACACAGTTACAGCTTCAATACCTGTCCCTGCACTTTACAAGGGATAATAAAACCTTGCCTGAATGTTCCGCTTAAAAATATGACTAGGGGCTTTTGGAAGGAGGAAACCACAAATAGGACAAAAGCGAGATTAAATTCTTGTCCATGCCTGAGCTGCATAAGGAGCATAACTGCTGTTTGCAATAGCAGGAGTCTAGTCACTCATGCAGCATATGCAGCAAGCGAGGGCCCTATTTTCTTTTTCCCTTTTTTTTTTCCCTTTCCCTCCTTTTATTTATTTTTTATTTTTTTCCTTTCCTTTTTTATTTTTTTTCTCGTTTTTCCCCCTTTCCTTCCCCCCCACCCCCTTCAACAGTCGAGGCACAAAACACCCTGCTCGCCCGGGGCCCTCCGTGTGGACAGGAGACACCCAAGGACGGGCCCGCACGCTCGGGGCGCGCGAGCGCTTCCCAACTTCGGGAACGCGTTTGCTTTTCCCAACGGGCGCCCGGTGGGATGCGGCGACTCCACGTCCTTGACGGCAGCACCGGCTAAAACAGCAGCGCCCTTGTGGAAAGACCAAAAAAAAAAAAAAAAAAGGGGGAAATGAATCCCCCCGAGCCCGGCTACGCTGACAGCCGCATAAGGGAAGGGGAGGGGCGTTTCCCTGCCCTGCTCCTCCCTTCCCG